CAAGAATAAACAAAATTAAAAATGATCCATTTTAAAGATACTGGCTAATCACTTACTAAAACATACAGACAAGCACGGGACCAATTGATCTACGTAATATTTTAAACCCACACTTTACTGTTCAAGAAACCCTCGACTCTCTTTTAGACACCTGGAAAGTCGCTTCTACTACAGCAACTATTTCCATAAGTCAAACAACTTGTCAGAAAAATAAACTGTCTTAACGATTTCCCGACAAATACCAGGTTATTTCACATTAAAGGCAAAGTTCGCCCGGGAAATTTGCGGGAATTTTGGTGATGGGAACAATTTAGTTTAGTGTATAAATAAAGAAGCTGGACACGTTTTGAACAAACAAATAGAATCTTTATTTGGTTTGGTATGTTACGAATTTCGCGCAAAGCTATACGAGTACTATCTGCGCTAACCGTCTCTAATTTAGCAGTGTAAAACTAGAGGGATGGCAGATACTCATCACCACCCACTCTTGGGCTTCTCTTTTACCAACGAATAGTGGGATTAACCGTCACATTATAACGCCCCCACGGCCGAAAGGGCGAGCATGTTTGGTGTGACGGGGATTCGAACCCACAGATTACGAGTCGAGTGACCTAACCACCTGGCCATGCCGGGCCGAATCTTTATTGAGACAATTAAAAAAGCCATTGCACGTACCCACAGTTGGCCTGTCTCCTTTTATTTGATGTTTACTTCTATCGCTATCTTTCTTTCAAGATTTAGTGCTCCGATATTAAACACGAAGATCTTCCAGAAAAGGTCAGGCCATTATTTGGGTCAACTAATGGAAAACTGAACTAATAAAGCACGCTTGGATTCAGTGTTAACTTGCTTTCTTTGTTCAGTGAACCTATGTTCCCTGACATTATTGGTCAGCTATCAATTTCAGTCGACCAGAAAAGGATATTCCAATTTTAACTTGTTCAACCCAGGCTCTGTATACAACACTGAAATATCCCTGTGGGTAGAGAAGACGTCACCCACTAAGAGAACAAAGGGTGAAGCAACTAGAACAACATAATGTTAGCAACTCTGGACCCGTGTTGACGCCATGACAGTGTGGAAACTAAATAATCTAAAATTTAGAGTTCTGTATTACTACAGAAAGTAGAAAATCCATGATATGCCAGCATATCACAGATGCGGCCTACCATGTCTTTACTAAATCTTAAACTTGAGTCTGCACATCCAATAACCAGCAGAATATAGCAAAAAATAAATCAGAGACCTCCATTTTATTGATCTCCTGGAGAATCTTGTAAACTTAAATAGTTACATCTTACCTTTTTTTTTCTAGAGAAAATACACGAAGAGATCTTAGAATGTCACATTAAGATAACTACTACATTCCTGAGATCATCCTAGTAGTTTTCTTCTGAACCTTTACCAGAAATTCAATATCCTTTATTAGACAAAAGGACCAAAACTCTGCGTAGTATGGTAATTTGTTCATCATTTGCCTAAAATATTAATGTCTCGAACAACAGGATGTACTTTATGACAGAAATTTTCAAGTATTACGTCACTTTCGTCTTCTTTACAGTCACCAGTTCAAGCAACACTGTCATCTGGCGGATTAAAATCTAGTATTTAATGTTCAAATAAGTAACATTACACCACTGCTTTTTATCATACAAAGAGTTTATTAGGATGCATTAAAACACTTTTGAATATGTCAATCAGTAATTCACGAGACAGCCACACCTGATATAAAGTCACGGTGGAAATGAATGTAATACAACTATATTTTAACATTATTTGGTGTTAGGTATGTAGCGTGTAACAGCCTTTTCTGATGCAAAATATTGATACACTAAGACCACAAAGGTGTATTCATATTGAAGATTTAGAATTTCCAAGAGGGGAATGTTTCTTATACTTAGTCGCATTGGAAAACAAAGGAATATGTATAAAATTGGGACACCAGGACCGTCCAGAAAGAGACCTGCAAAAGTCGTAACTAAGCTCTGGTAAGCCAAGTGCATCATTTTGTAACAGGTGGTAATCTATGGACATAAAATCATTAGCAAAAGATGCTTACGTATCCCAAGCAACAGTACGCAACATGATCAAGTAAGATTTCCGTATGGAAACGAGACCTTCAGGCTGTGGTTTCACCAAATTAATGGTGACAGCCATACCTCTTGTTCAACTGTCGCATGCCTCAAGCAGCTGGATAATTGAATAAGTATTAATGTTATTACACATGAAGACACACCATTTAAGTCGCAAAACGCAGCACCTGTGGATTACTGTGCGATCGAACTGTTGAAACGGACTTTGAGAAATCGTGTCCTCGTATACTAGATGGATTATGGAAACTCGAGAAAGGAGTGATACGAGTTGGACGTGACAGCCTCACGAAGAACTTTTCTGCAATGGAAAGTAGATACACGGTACTCAGACAGAGCACGATTTGGGGTGTTAACATGAACTGTAACGATTGTTTGTTTGTAATTGAGCACAAAGCTACACAAT